CCTATCCCCTCGTNTGCCTTCGCCTCCCAACGACTAACCTATTGCATCAAAACGTCTTACATAATTGATTGCTTGTTGCAGCGACGGAAACGTGCGTACTTGGACCAGCTGGGGGGCCCCGCTTGGACTGGTCTCACCGAGGACGAGAAGGAGGCGGTTGCCTGGATAGCTGACTTTGGGTGCATTAATCATAAAATGGACAACACAATCCAAAAGGCGCCTGCGGGGTTCAAAGACGTCTATCGTGGGCACCCAGAGATTCCTAAGCCGCTCCCAATCCCAAACAAGAAACAAGCCCTTGCCGCCAGTCGAAACCGACTTGCACGAGAGGTTGCAGCGGCCCACGCGGCGAGAGGCCCGGGCGGCGGAGGGGCTGCGGAGGGGGGGGAGCCGGACGGAGGGGAAGGGGAGGTGCGGGACGAAGAGGAGCGGGTCGAAAATTTGATTGACGACCTGCTTGAGCATGCGGAGTCCGTAGATTCAGGGGGGTTGGTCTGCGCGGTCATCGTTTCTGTGGTCCTTGGGGATAGCGATTCTCAACGGCCAGGTGCATTATTTGCGGAGTGGCGGAGCTGGTTGGTGTTGTTGGTGAAGCAGAAGACGGAGGCGGGGGCAAGCGAGGAAGAGTTGGCTGCACTCAAGGTGGCGGTAAATGCTGCCTTCAGCATCCGAATGGTGGGAAAAGCCCGGTTTTTCGAAAAAGCAAGAGTGTGCGCCCCAGCTGTGGTAGCTCGTCTGCTCATCATCGAGTTTTTAGAAACTCGCGTGCAGCAACGGAAGCCCTTGAACCACCTCGAAAAACGGCTCCTCGTTGGCCTCAAAGACGAGCCAACCTGCCTAGAAATGGTCTGCCTTGCGGTGATTGAGCACGAGCTTGGATTTCCTTGCATCGTCGCAAAAGCTATCTACCCCAACGCTTGGGATTGGGGCCCTATTTGGGACAAGGTAGTTTTGTCGCTCATCCACTTCCAAACGGACGCAACAGACCTGCTGACGGGGGAGTTTGTGTGCGTGTTTGGTCCCGAGGTCGAGCGTGGCTCGAGGAAGCTGGTACAGTCGGTGCGGGCAGAGTACAGCCTTGGGCATGCAGCCTGGGGAACGTTGAAGTTGCTGTTGGGGGTACGCACAGATGGAGGTGTGCCTCCGTCGGTTTTGCAAAGGACGCGCTTCTAGTTGAGGGCGGGAAGAATCGACGGGACGTGGTGGGAGACGCGTTTGTGAAGGCCCTGCCCGAAATGAATCCAAGCAACGATCCGATGGAGGGGGCAAACGGCACTGGGAAGCAGTTCTTGCGAGCTAGGCCGAATGCAACCAATGCAAAGGCTTCAAGCTTTGTAGCGTATAAGTGCTCGGGTATGGATGAGCGCGGGTTTGAGGCAGTCGGAGACAAGCGAAAAGCGCACGGCTGGGCAATGAAAGAGGGGCGGCGAATTCGGAAGGAGTCCACGAAGAACAGGGAGCTAGCGGAGCACGGACAGATCCAAGCAGATAGAGCGGATGAAGAGGGGGCAGTCCGCCAGGCACGATTAGCAACCCAAGCGGAGCAGCTGGTCTGCTTGGCGGGCCTCCCGAAATGCCAGTCGGCCGTGGATGTCCAGACCTTGTATGCTGGGCCGTCTGCTTTCTCTCCGCAGACCGATAGGCGGAAGAGATTGGTAGACCAGCTCAAGCGACTGAAGATTGTCGACGGGATGAAGGACATCACATGGAGCAAAAAGGGGCAGACCATTCCGGTGCTGTGGGGTCTGCTCTGCGAGAAGCTTCAGCTGGGAACCGTTGTGATGCAAGCGTCGCAAGCAGAAAGCGGGGGGCAGGCAGGCGTGGCAGAAACAGAACTGGACCCCGAAATCGAGTCGGAAGATGACGGCGGGTCGGAGGGTAGGAACGACCCCGTGGGCTCGGAGGACGGCGAGGTGGGGGACAGGGAAGGGGTACGCGAGGAAGTCCCTCTCGCACCGATTGCTGAACGAGCCTTGAGCGGAGATGAGGAGGCGTTTGGCCCTGCAGTGTACGAGGGCGGGTGGGAGGAGGCGGCTTTCTTCTTGCCTGACGAGAGTCCGACTCCTGCCGAACGCAGCCATGGTAAGTGTTCATGAACAACAATATGTGATCGGCCGCGGCTCGAAGAATCCGTTTCTTCGAATTCATCGTGTACATCATGCCGGCACAAAACGTACACGTGCACAGCATGACGCCTAATACGCGGAGCCTGCTTCGTCGCACTGGCATACTTGCAAGGCGCACATACTAAAGGAAGTAGCACATTAGAAAGTAGCAGCATCAGCCATGTGCTGAGTATCGTTTTGAATATCTTATATAGGTTTTCCGGAGTGGGGGGTGGAAGAACCACTCCCGATCGCGGGGGATCCCTCTAGCCTGACCGACAACGAACACGGTAAGGCTGGCATGATTGAGGACGGTGCGCCTGCTATAGCAAGCATGCACGACAACTTGCCCTTTGCATGCCTATCCATGAGTGGCGGACGAATGCACAATAACTTTTTACTAATATAGTATCAAATCGTGCAATAGTTTGGCTACCGGAACTTCAGCTGGAACCGATGGACGAAGGTTTTGAATGGGCATCAGCTAACGAGGAGTTAACTAACACCGACCATCTAGGGGCAAATTTGCGGAGGCTGTCAATTTTTGAGGAGCTCTAATAGTACGGGGACTAGCACTGCTTGCTCTAGCGAGAGTGACAGTGTACAATCACATGGTAATGCGGACAGCCTATATTAACTGCGGGCCTATTGAATTTGTTACACATCAATTGCAGTAATCCATCCAACACGAAGCCCAATGGCTATGCCCACCCTGAATTACATTTGAGCAACACGGTATGTATCCCAAGTTCCACAACAACTGGCCCAACATCAGCTCAGCAACTGGAAGCATCTGACTGCCGTAACCATAAGCTTTGCAAGCAAGACTTATAACTTAGAAGCCAGGGTTGTGGTCAGGGTGAATTGGATCATACATGTTCACGATGTCGTGTTGCACTACCTCTATCATGGTGCCCCTCCAGAAGTCGTCAAAGAATGCTTGGGTCGCCTCGAGGTTGTGCACCCTGGACACAATGTAGTTCGGGGAGTTGGCATCACGCCTGATGAACTCGTGCACGTTGATGGCCTTCTCCAAAGCGTAGAACTTCTTCCGAAAGAAAGGTCCCCAGAGAAAGGCCTCACAGTCTTCCTCTGGAAATGGCGCGCAGTGGATCTGCAAAATGAATGAGCAACAACACAATAAGCCTCCAGATAATCATAATGCTCTCAACCAAAGCAACTTGCCTCGGGTCTGAACCATGGTCTGGGACTGAGCTACTGTAAGAGTAACTTTTGTTTTATCAACACTGCCAAATGGAGGATGTGCACTTGGCTTACCAGTGACTGCAATGCATTCAAGGTCTATCCCTCTTAGTTAGAGCAAGTGGTGGAAGGGCATGAATCCCAGAAGGACAAAAGAAAAACCTCTTTGACACGAGAGTAGGCTCCACTTTGACAGACTTCTTAGTGATAATTGCACAATGCAGGATTCACGTCTGACATTGAGGTCTGATAGGACACCAGCAGCTTGAAGCATGACAATGCAAAATCATTTTTGAAAGGCTACTCTCTAACAGCATTGTAAGATGGCAGTGTTCACAGCATTTAAAGTGTTCTCAAAATTGAGGCATCCTCAGATTTGATGCAGGACTTGTTCATCTGATGCTTATTTCACAAATGCCCGTCAGCCAACAATGTGCCTTTGAAGTTTCTCAATAATGCTGGCCAGCAAATCTTTCTACAGTTGCCATTGAATTATGTAACTTACCGCCGGCATGGTCTGATCATTCTTCTCGTTCTTGAAGTGAAACTCCTCTTCCCAGTCTTGGCGCAAAGTGAGGGAGGCTGCCCTACTTGCATAGTATGTCATGTTCTCTTCCACCCCCGGGAGGCCCCATTGAAACATTAGAAGAACCTCGTCTGTGCTGAAGTCATCAAAGTACTCTAGAACCTGATCATTAACATCCTGCCCACATAATTCTTCCACCTCGTCCGCGAACCAACGCCTGAAGGCAGCAGCTTTTCTCTTGTCCCACAGCCGGCTCCAATCCTCCTGCCTTTCTAACTCCCATCCTGGAGGATCAGGCAGCTTGACATGAGTGAATCTGTCGCAACAATTGCATGAATTGCTTCGCGGTGCTGTGGCTGCTGGAAGGGGGTCTGGCCCGGGTGCCATTGCAAACTTTCCAATGCAGAGAGGTTGTCTACAGCAGAGACTGTGGAGGGGGCCAATAGTGCCTCAGAGTGAGCGGATTGCTAGGATACCAGCTGCTGTTGGCGCCATTTCTGCCCCCATTGTACTCTTGCAAATGTCCAGATATGAGACCAACTTGAACTGCCGCAGCTGAGCCGCGTCGGCTGCAAGCCGCGCGGCTGACGCGGCCGGGTCGCGCGGACTTCCTGCCTATGTCCGAATTATCGAAAAAGTTGAAGTTTTGCCGAGTGAATAACTCGCCGTACCGAGGGCGAAAGTCACGATCCGTACGCAAAATTTGCCTGGACCGACCTTCCAAAGTTTGAGAGCGCTGTTTCCAGTCCCCACTGGACTCTACCGTAGATGCGTGCGGGCTGGTACTTGGATAAATACATGCCCTGCATGCCGGCCGGTGTAATGGATGAAAACAGTACATGCCGGCCGGTACCGCATCAAGGGTGCGGCACCTGCCCATACAATACACGGCAGCCATTAAATGCGAGCGGCATGTACATTGCCGCACCTACCTAGGCGAGTGCCGGAGCCTATGAAAGGCTCCGGCAGTCGCCCATATGAGATGCGGCACTCACGGCCCGGGCGGTCTGGGGCCAGCATTTGGTGCCGCGCCGATCCCCGAATTACGGCCTGTGCTGATAATGCCGCAGTGGGCGCCGCGAGTCCCCGGTCCGGCAGAGAAGGTACCGCCCGGCGACCCTTTGTCTGGGCACGGCCTCTTTATGCCTGTGGCGGCAGAGCCCGAGGTACAGGCGGCCCCCCCGGCATACTTCCGATCAGCACACGGCATATTGGCGTCACCAATGATGCCGAGCCGGCACACTTCCGGCATACATCCGGCGAAGTCCCACTGTAACGGCACGACTGCGCACCGACTTCTGGCTGCGCGCCAAACTCGCGGCCGCGCATCGTCCGTTAT